TTTTGTAGAAGTAAAGACATTTTTTGTTTATACATGCACATCAGAACAAAAGGTGTCCTACCTTGATGATGGATTCGTTTTTCTAAGAACAATTAGTAAATAAACTTGATTCTGACTAGTCTGTCAGCCTCAGAATGTCTGATTATTTTGATCGACTGAACCTTATAAGGACATATTATTATTTTAACTGTTCTCTGAAGTTTCTTAAGCGGTTGGGTAAAGTTAAGCTCATCGACAGAACAACGGCCATTTAGTCCAGGCAGAGGGCGAAACAGACAGAAAAAATAGAGGGAAAGGAGAAAAGTAGTACCTACCTGTCCGATTTCGTTGAGGCAAACTTCTGCCAAGTTCTGAAGTCTAATCAAGCGTAAACTCCTAGCTTTTGACAAAGCTCACCAGGCTGCGGGAACTGCAGCACAAACGTTGTGTATATTGTTTTTATATTTATTATTGCAAACCCCAGATGTACAAAAATTACAGATTCATCGATTTCGCACAGTTCCGCAGCTCAAACTGAAGTCACTGTATGACAGCAACGCATTAGGGGGCAGAGTTGCGGAACAAAGATCGGATGGAGATCGATGCTTTACGAAAATCATCTCATATCGAATGCAACCAAAAGGTACACGCTCTGAGTGTATTGATTTAGCAAGTCGGCCGGAAAGCGAGTGAATGTGAGCCAGAGAGGTTTCCCTTCACACCTGAAAAGACATCATTCAGTGGTACTTCCTCTCCAGTTAGGGTCTTGGACTGAACGCGCGTGCTTTTGTGTCTTCTTCTGCTGGACATACGGCGCTCACTTCCTTACATGACGATATTACTACTGATGAAAAAAAAAATTCCTTTCATGTTTTGAAATTTCAGAATCAAATGAAACAGAGAAATTCCAAAAGATACCGGCACACTCTACCTTCCTCGGTTATAGTACGCAACGCTTTAAGAGCCTGCCAAACGGACAATCCATCTAAGGACAAGCCAAGGATGGAGAGGTACAAGAAATCCCATTTTGGCTAAATTAAGTAAAATTGTAACTCTTGAACTTGAAGCCATCCATTGTCATATTTCCTGATTTGTGTTTGACATGTGCTTGCTCGTATGTGTTCGTAGTAAGCAATGGAATGAGTGTAAGAGTGAGTAGGAGAATACGCTCTAAATCACCGTTATTGTGTCGATGTGTACAACTTTACTCAACATTTTAAAAACTTCAGGAGAAATCAAAAATAATATTATTATGTCCTTACAATATTCAGTCGATCAAAATATGATGCATTGCAATATGTATATTTTATCTTACAGGATTTTGTGAAAGTGCAGTGTAAGTTAATTCTCTGAAATTGAAAACCAATGACAATTATATCCATCTTTAGATCCAAACCTAAACCACGTGAACTGTTTGCCTGCAGTCATGTTTTCTACATAGAAATTGTAGGTTCAAATTGCGTTTTGCTTGCACACATAATACATTTGGTCAGTATTACGCTTACGAATGTTCTTAGGTGTTGTTCCTTATGGCTTTTTATTCACCATGATATTCTATTACTTAAAATGAACGCTTCGACCAAAACCCAAGGCACGTTAAGTTCTACTTTGTATCCTGTTTTCAAAATGAAAGCGTAGTTAAAAAAAACAAGCTCCGCTTAAACGGATTACTACATTTTGGGATTAGGGCTCACCTGTAGCTCAGCTGATGTCATGCTAGACAGAGCAGCGGATGACCATGGTTCGAATCCTCAATGGGACCTTCTGTACTTGGACTGTTTCAATGAGTTGTTTATAATGATATATGACTCTCCATCCATCTGAATCGGTCTTATCGGAGACTAATGTTAATTCGGAGTCCCACCTTTAAATAGCTCCATAGTATTGAAAAGGGCATTAAACATTTAGACTGACCATTCTAAATGAATGTACAATGGAAGTAAATAGGGATTTTTAGTAAGACTTTTACGGCACTTTAAACACAATAAGGTCATAAATGTTCCTATGTTTAGAGGTGTAACAATAGAGTAACAAACACAAAAAAGAAGGGAGAGTGATAAGTACGCATGTATTTTACTGGAAAGGAGAAGCAAACCACACGAGCATCCACTAATCACTCAGAAGTAATGCGTTTTTTTCAGGATATGATGAAGCCCAGGTCGGCCGCTCACCGACAAGAACAATTAGGAAACGACAAAATATGGATATTTTGGGTCCCTTGACCAGACATAAAGGCTTTGAATATTTCGCTCAGGAAAAGTGAACGGCACACAGGGAAGGGACAGACCCGGAGTACTTATTTTGAAAAACCTGTACATATACCGATGGGTTACGGGGAAATATCCAGGTAATAATGTGGACTTTTTTTTAGAGCAGCCGAGTTGAGAAAGTAATGGAGAATCATAGCCGCAGATGTCTGTTTCAGATCTGACTCTTTACGATAATGATATGAGCACCACCTCATATTTCTGATACGCTTCCTGTGTTTGTAAGGTCACAGACGAAAATGATTAAAATATGTGGCATCGTGCGTCATAATAATAAAATCGAAGACACCAACATTCATTTTCTGTCCGTTTTGCAATTTTTTGGTCGACTATATTTGACTCAACACTTTTTATGTTCATTTGAAAATACGTTTATGTGTTGGTTTTTACCGTAAAACATTGATCAAACACACCGAAAATGTAGATTTTCCGTTTCCAATGAGACCCAAAATTTAGCAATTGTCAAGTTTAAGTGGTTAATTTTCTTGTTAATGTCACCTCTGAGACCAGGCGATTACTCCCCCTTTTCATTCATATATTCACCCTCTCCCCCTAGTTTTGAGCAATTTCATGAGGAACAGATGACAAAATTTGAACTCGTAACGTTTGATACAGTCAAGGGTGTAATTAGAAAATCGTCACCTAAGTCATGAAGCCTCGATCCCGTCCCCACCACTAAAGATGTTTCAGCCCGTTTCAAATAAATAATAAAAGATAGCATATTATGTGTTGCAAATTTCGGCGTAACAATAAGCTCTATGCGTTTTACCAGCTATATTATTACCTCAACAGACCTGATAGCATTATAAAACAATCTCAACTTCTATGGAAGCATAATACAGTGCAAGCTGCCGTTTCACTGGCGCAAAAACACTAACATACCGATAAAACATTTCGCTGTCTATGGTCGGGTATCCCTTTCTGCCTGGGTGAAGTGAGGAGAATTGTGTAAAGTGCCTTTTCCAAGGACAAAATAGTGCTCGAAGCTCGAACTTCCGAACCCCGCATGCTCACGGTTACGAGTCCGGTAGCTTAACCACTAGACTCTCGATGCCACTGATGATAATAGGCACCGTCTCACATTTCAGATACGCTCTATCTTTTCTGTCCAACATTCTAGAAAAAGAATGTGTTCGCCCAGATTAAAGCTTATCTCAGTCACAACGACCTA